TTTTTTGTTTTTTTTTTTATTATTTTTATTTTTTATTTTTTGGGGTTTTCAATTATCCTAAGGGTTTTGGAATAAACATTAATCATTATTTCCCCCTTTTTAATTATGGAACATTTTTTTTTTGCTTGTGCTTTAATTACAGATATTTTTATTGTATTTTTGTTGTATTATTGTGTTGTATTTAATGTATTTATTATTTACTTTGTTGTAAGCCAGGGGTGTCAAACTCGTGTTGTCATGGTGGTGTCATGTGACGTATCAGGACTTTTCCCCCCCTTCGCTAAACTGGGCAGGGGCGGAGTCAGTATGTGATGCATCCAGCCTGTGGGCCACAAGTTTGATACCCCTGTTGTAAACTGAAGGGCGTCAGGATGATTTGATGGTACACAAATTTAATAAACAAACAAACAAAAAAACCTTAAGCCACATCTGGAAACTCACTAGGACATCTTTATAGTTCTATCCTTCTCCAGTATGGAATTGCTCACAGCTGCTTGATGCTTCTTGGACATATGCAGTGTATAGAGTAAGGATGTAAAGCAATGTTGCAAAGGAAGGTGGAAAGTGCATTTCCTGAAATGTCCTGCAATTAGGGAAAAATAATCATATGCCTTTTACTACCTTTCAAGGAGGAGGATGGAGAGAATAAAATGTCTGCATAAATTAGGAAAACCTTTCTCATTTTGATTTTTAAAAAGATGGCAGGGGAATTCTTCTGGAAGATAATTGTGGGGAAACAAAGATATAAAGAAGGGATTACTAGAAAAACAATCACCAAAAAAACTGAAGAAAAGAAAAAAAACATTCAGAAAGAAAGAGAAAAATGAACAGAAGACTGCTGGAAAAGATTTTTAAAATTCCTTTTAGGTGGGGGGGGGCTTGCCTTCTGATAGCTTATTATTCTCCTTTCCCCAGTCCTTTGTTCCCATTTTAGAGGCGCAAAGCCTTGATTAGTGTAAAAATGTTCTGCTGCAATTATGACATTATTTCAAGAGAAAGCTCTGGATCAGATTAAACCCAGCCATTTTAAACCCATTTCACTGTCCAGGGCACCGTTTTGACTTCAGTGAATAACAAAACCAAAGGAAGGAAGTGTGGTGCCTGCTTAACAGGTCAACACTGTCACCTCTGTTGTTACTACCATCAGTGGTGGGTTTCAAATTTTTTTACTACCGGTTCTGTGGGTGTGGCTTGATAGGCGTGGCATGGCTTGGTGGGCATGGCTTGGTAGGCATGGCAGGTGAAGGATACTGTAAAATCTCCATTCACTCCCCAATTCAGGGGAAGGTTACTGCAAAATCCCCATTTCCTCCCGATCAGCTGGGACTTGGGAGGCAGAGAATAGATGGGGGCGGGGCCAGTCAGAATTTTTACTACTGGTTCTTTGAACTACTCAAAATTTCCGCTACCGGTTCTCCAGAACTAGTCAGAACCTGCTGAAACCTGCTTTTATTTTGGGAAAGTTGCTTCAAAATGTATGTTCAGTGCAATTGAGGAACATTGTTCTGCCCAGTTACTCATGATTAACTTTGAAGATAGAGGCTGTTGGTAATTGACATTTTTGAAATAAATATATGGGTCAGACCAAGGAATAGTATGTTAAATACTAGTCCATTGACTTTGGATAATAATGATTGCTCAAAGGAAAAAGCTACAGCCCAGGAGAAAAGTAGTCTAAATGTTCAAAAATCACAAAAGCTTTATACAATTTAAACTTGGAAAGACTATAAAACAGTCAGGAAAATAAAGATGCTACATCCCTAGATGATGAAAGATTTAACCTGATGCCAGGGTTTCTTTGGCAGAGCTACTATACTCCTGTATGAATTTGTGATATACTATACAGTATATTGTTGAACTGTTTCATTAAGTGCAACTTCTGTCAATCAGTGATGAAAGATTATGAAAAGTGTAAATTAACCCCTAAAAGCCAAGCATGATGTGGAATGAAAGGACCAAGCAACATTCCTGGGTCAGCCAGAGACAGTTTTATTGCACAAGGTTCAGAGCCAGGAATTGTACCTGAAGCTTTGAACAACCCAAGAGCTGTGATATCTCTGTTTTTATACATTTCTAAGACAAAGGATTCAGTGAGATCATACATTTTCCATATATGGTTACATACATCCAATTTTCCCTATATGGTTACATACATTTGATAATATGTTCATCTAATTACTTAAACCATTAATTTTAGTTTATAAAATTATCTTAGCCACACAACTTTTTCTTAAGTGCTCAGAGTTGCTAATGGGAGATTTACTACTGTCCTTGGGTAATAAGAGGTAATAAGTGACTCTTTGTTTCCTGTGGCTGTTTTGTGTATCTGATAGTGGTGGGGCATTCAGATGTCTTCCATCTGGCTGTCCTTCCGTGACGGCTAGGCTTCATCAGAAGATTTATTACCCTTCATGGGGTTTAACTGTTTGTTAATGTAATCTCCAAGCAAGCACTTTCCTCTCTTATAATAATGTGAATAGAGAGGGTCTCTCAGAATTCATGTATCTAAGCACGTCTTCTCCTTATAATAATGTGAATAGAGAGGATCCTTTAGAGCTCATATATCTAACTCTGTATTATTCCTTTCCTTTATCCACATTATTCCTCCCTTTGAAAGTTTTTCCATGCAGAAACTTTCACTACTTCCTACATAACATTCTATTTCTTTTAATAAACAAGGCTAATATATAATATCTAACAAAATATGATTAATCTAGGCCAGAGATAGGTATTTCTTGATCTTCACTCTCTTACTCCTTGGAGGTACTCCCTCCATTCTTTTCCAGACTCCATTTCTACATATGTGTCTGTTTCAGAGTTTCTATTCTCTAGAAAGTGCTCTGTCAAAACTAATTCCTTCACAGTCTGTATCTCTTTCACTGCTCTGATAGATAGCTGTTTCAGCACAGGGATTGCACAAGGAACAAAAGCTAGGCCTGCCACAGCACATATCGACAAGAATAACATTTGTTTAATCTACCCGGATCCAGGCACCCAAGAAAACCACATGTCCGTTGTTTGTAACCTCTGACCTATCTTGGATGCCCTATCCTGCAATTCCTTGGCAATTTCTCTGACCACACCTGATTTATTCATATAGAAACAACAGTCTTCTCCCAGAAATACACACATACCTCCTCTCTCTGCGGTTAGGAGGTCTAAGGCACGTCGATTTTGTAGGACCATTGCTGCCAACGAACCTGTCTGGTCTTGGACTTCTACCAGGGTTCCAGCAATTTGGTTCAGGCTTTCTTGGAGCTCCTCTGATAATTGCTGAAATTGTATTACTGAGTGTGTCACTCCACCTATATCTGTTCCAACTGCAGTTCCTATCCCCATGATCACTAATAGTGGGACTAGGATTGGTGCCCGTTTCTGAACATACCCCATGAGAGGAACAGGGATGGTATGTTCTCCACTGACAACACCTATTTTAGGAAAAAGGTGTACTAGTGTGCATATTCCGGTCCAATTTGTTGGCAAACATAAATACGCATCCTTCCCGCAGAAGAAGAAAACTCCTTTTTCCCCTACACACACGCCTATGTTCATGGAGAAAGCATGGGTCCGATGGTTCTTTTCATTAGTCCAGACCCCCAAAGTCCCGGCCACAAACATTCCAGCAAGCGGCTGTAATGGGACTTCTAGTGAAGGGTCCTTTTGCTTATCTCTGAGGATTGGGCCTTCAAAAAGATACCGGGAGGTAGTATTCCCAGGGGGAAAGAGGATACCTGTGCTGGACCTAATGGAAAGCCAGATAGGGAAGCGAGGGGGCTGGAATAGACTGGGGCACCTTTCCTTGGATACATTCCAGGACCCCTTCCATCCTCCCCATCTTGTGATAGTGGCAGTTGGTGGTAGTGAGAAAGTGACCTTATGGTGAACTGAGTGGTGTGCAGAAGGAAAAAGATCTTTGGTTAGTTTTACATCCTTAAAGTTCGTTCTAGGACCAAGGTACACTTCTGATGGACATTGTTCTTCTGTCAGGGATCCTACAGGCCTACCAGGTTTCTGATGTCTCTTTACACACAGGGAAGATGTCCCTATGAGTTCCACACCTGTGGCTATTGGGCCAGCAGGGAGGCGGCTTTTTCCCAGCCATTGGAATGCCTCATAAAAATCTCCTTGTATTGGAGATACTGGTGCTTTATTTCTACTATCTTTTTCAAGGACTATTGTAGCCTTTGTCCTAGCCCAGAGTTGTGGCTTGACAGGAACAGCATGATAAGATGAAGGGCTGGCAGATAAACACAACCAGCATTGTTAACCTAAGGTAGGGTCATACGGATTAACAAGGTTTTGACCCAATTCCAGTATCCTTGATATGTAGTCTCCTCTTCTCAATTGTTGCAGGGGCCCGTTTTCCTTTTCTATTCCTCCCTTTACCGGGATTGTCAAACTTTTGACATTAGGTTTTGGAGTTGGCGCAGGTCTAAAGTAACGACCCCACCTACTGACGATCCGTCATTGGCGGGAGTGGACTTGGTCTAAAGTATCTCTACTTAGTGGCCTGATGCTGGTCGGTTCCTTGGGGTTCTTAATATTTCTAGATCCTTCCTCATGGACAAGGGGGATTTCTCGGACACCCACACAACATTGGGAACTACTGTTCAAGATAGTATCACTCACTAGTCCCTTGGCTAATAGTACCAAAAGCCCTAAACAAATCATAATGACCTTATTCCTACACCCACAAGGCCTTAAGAGTGCAAGACCCGTAGTTTATAAATTCACCATGTCAGGAAGAGGGTTAGGGGTATGCGTAACTTGGGGTAGAGCGATATCAATTGTATTCCTAGGTCTCCCACAGAGCCGATCCTTATATATATATAACAATACCACCAGAAGGGCTAAAATAGTTGTTGCCCAGAGTCTCCACACCCAATCTTCCTCAAACATGAGTGTCTTTAAGAATTGCTCACTGGATTCTATTACAGTTAATGAGTTTTACATTACAAATAACAGTCATGGAATGTTGTCTTCCTCCATTCCAAGCTTTGGCTGTGTGCAGGGAACCAGCTTCCGGGGTGGTTCAGCAAGGCTGACGATCACCACCGTGCGTTGAGAGTCCATTGCCGGTAGGACTCAGCAGGGTGTATTCTTCTTGAACTTCAGCACCAATGGCCTGTCAGTTTTTGTCACCTGGTATGTGACTGGATCATTCTGGTCTGCGGGCTTCAATCTCGTCCAGTGGATCCAGGATCTTCCTTCTAAGGACTTAACTGCAAGAGGTGAACACATCACAACAGTTATGGCCCTTTCCATCTAGGTTTTAAAGGCTCATTTTTCCAATGTTTTATCCATACTCTATCACCTGATTTGTAGTTGTAACCTGCAGTCGTAATAGGGGGAGGTCTACATTCTTGCATATAATGCCTCAGTTGGTTGACATGATTGTTGTGCTGTTGCAGAAGTAATTTTCTTGCTTCTACCCCCCACTTTTGAACTAAATCTGGCCAGCCTTGGAAGTGGTGCTTGAACAAGGCAGGGGGTCTACCATACAGAAGTTCAAAAGGAGACAACTGGTATTTGGTTCGTGGGGCTGTTCTAAAAATGTACAAGACCATGGGGAAAACTTGAAGCCATGGCAAGTGGGTTTCTAAGCACAGTTTGGTAATAATTGCTTTCAATGATCGATTAGCTCTCTCAATTTTTCTAGATGATTGGGGCCGAAATGCACAATGATATCTCCATTTCAGGCCTGCTGCTTCAGCTAGGTGGCAATTTATACATTGCACAAATTCGGGGCCATTGTCTGAACTGATGGTAGATGGACATCCAAATCTAGGGATTATTTTCTTTAAAAGAAAGCGTGCCACTTGTATAGCTAATTTATTTCTAGTAGGGTAGGCCTCGATCCATCCTGAGTAAGTGTCAATGAAAATGAGCAGGGCTTTTTTTTTTTTTCAAAAGTTTTACAATTACATTTTTACCCCATTTCCACCCCCAACCCACCCCATAGTCCCCACCCTAACCCCCCCCAAACCCCCCTAACCCTCCCCCCCGACTTCCACAAAATATAATCCCATCAAAATTCCCCCCTTTTTTTTATAAAACCTGAACCCCTCAAACCCCCTTATAATTTTTCATCTTCACAAAATTCATACATTTCTATTTTTGTATAATACTTTCAATGAAAAGCTATTTGATACTTCCTGGTTTGATATTTGTTCTGCACATAATCTATCCATTTTTTCCATTCCCATTCATAAGTCTCTTGTGAGTGATCTTTTAAATATGCTGAAATCTTCGCCATCTCTGCAAAACTGGCCATCTTCAAAGTCCATTCTTCAATAGTGGGCAAGGCTTCGTTTTTCAATATTTACCTATCAATAATCTCGCTGCTGTTATCATATACAATATCAACTTAGTTTCATCCGATGTAAAACCCTTTACTATACCCAATAAAAACAATTGTGGAGAAAATTGAATTTTTTTCTTCAAAACATTCTGCATAACCCACCATATTTTTATCCAAAAAGCCTTAACTTTCTTACAGTTCCACCAAACATGATAATATGTAGCATCTAAACAATCACATCTCCAACATTTTGGCTGAACATTAGGATACATGCAGGATAATTTCTTGGGATCTAAATGCCATCTGTAAAACATTTTATAAAAATTTTCCCTCAAATTCTGCGATTGTGTAAATTTAACATTCTGAACCCATATTTTTTCCCATGTTTCCAACATCACTGGTTCTGCAAAGTTCTGTGCCCACTTAATCATGCAATCTTTAACCAATTCAGTTTCTGAATCCCTTTCTAACAAAACATTATATAACCTTTTAATCTGCATTGGACCTTTCTCTTTTATATGTCTAACCAATTCTTCCTCATGTACCATTATACCAGTTTTTTGGTCCTCTTTCCATCTCAATTGAAGTTGATTATACTGTAACCAAGTTAGATTAATCCCTTCGTCCAACAGTGTCTCCAATGTCTTCAGTTGCCATCTGCCCGCATCTGCAAAAAGAACCTCTTTATATAAAAAACCCCCCGAGTGACATTATATTTGTATTCCACATAATATGACCAAGATCCAGCCATAGCGGTATTTTGTAATCCCATTTGAGTCGGTGCTTCTTCCAAACTCGCATCAAAGAATCTCTAAGTATATGGCTTTTAAATACTTTATCCACTTTGTTTTCATAAAACAAGTATGCATGCCATCCAAATTCAAGATCAAAACTTTCTATGTTCAATATTCTAGTCTTTTTCCTTCCAAACCAATCGCTTGCTTGAGTCAAAGCTGCTGCTTCATAATATAACTATAGGTTTGGAAGTTTAAGGCCTCCCCTTTCTGGAACATCTTGCATAATTTTCAATTTCACTCTCGTTTTTTTCTCATTCCAGACAAACTTATTCACTCCACTTTGCCACTCTTTCAGTTGTTTATCACTTTTAAGCACCGGAATCATTTGAAACAAGAAAAGAAATCTTGGCAAAATATTCATCTTAACTGCTGCTATTCTTCCAAGTAAAGACAGCTGCAGTTTTTTCCAGGTCTCCATGTCTTTCTGTACATCTCGCCACAACACCTCATAATTATTTTGAAACAGTTTCATATTTGATTCTGCAACTTGAACTCCTAGATATTTAACCTTTGGAACAATCTCAAAACCTGCCCTCCTTTCAAGTTCATGTTTTCGATCTTGTGTCATATTTTTAACTATCATCTTAGTTTTTTTCTGGTTCAGTCTAAAACCTGATACTGTGCCATAATCTTGTATAATGTCTATCATCTGGATTATTGATTCCATTGGCTGTGTTAGGGTAACAACCAGATCATCTGCAAATGCCCTTATTCTGTAGTCCTCTTGCCTTATCACTATACCTTTCAGAGTATTCGAGTCCCGTATTGTATTCAACAAGACTTCTAGTGTTAAAATAAATAACAATGAGGATAACGGACAACCTTGTCTTGTTCCTTTTTCAATATTAAAGTCTGTTGTCAAACTTCCATTGATAATAATCTGTGCCTTTTGCTCTTGATAAATTGCTGAAACTGCCTGTATAAATTGATCCCCAAAGTCCATCTTTTTTAAAGTCTTTAATAGAAAATTCCAGTCCACTCTATCAAAGGCCTTCTCCGCATCCAAGAAAACCAGCACTGCAGGGATTTGTTTATTCTTCTCAAGATATTCCAATAAATCTATAACTTGCCTTACATTGTCCTTCATATATCTACCCTCTATAAATCCCGCTTGATCATCGTGAATCACCTCTTGAATTACTGGCATCAACCTGTTGGCTAATACTTTTGCATAAATTTTGTAAATCATTATTCAGAAGAGATATTGGTCTGTAATTCTCCGGTTTTTTAGGACCTGCTTGCTCTTTTGGTATCAAAGAAATGTAAGCTGTTTTCCATGATGGGGGTATTTTACCCCCTTGTTGTATATTACAGAATAAGTCTCTAAGTTGTTCTACCATTTCTGCTTGCAAAATTTTATAATACACTGCAGTCAAGCCATCCGTTCCAGGAGCTTTAGCTGTTTTCAGTTGTTTAATTGCTGCAATTATCTCCTCAACTGTTATAGGATGATTCATTCTTTCTTTTTGTTGGTTAGTAATTTTTGTAATTCTTTTATTTTCTAAGTATTTTTCTATAAGTCCATTCTGTATATCATCTGTAGCGTATAATTTAGTATAATAATCTACAAAAACTTCTTTGATTAATTTTTGTTGAGAAATTTCTTTCCCTCCAATATCAATACAATCAATAGTCCGCATAGTCTGCTTCTTCCTTAATGTATAGGCCAGCCATCTGCCCGGTTTATTGGCATTACAAAATGTATTATGCTTTGCGTATTGTAGATTTGTTGCAGCTTGTTCCGCCATAAGCATTTGAAATTGATCTTTCAAAAGTTTTATAGCACCACGTATTCTTTCATCTGTTGGATTTTTAATAAGTAACTGTTCTTTTTTCTTTATTTCTACTTCAATTTCAAATCTTTTCTTTTGTCTATTCAATTTGTGTTTAGAGTTCATATGAATGAGTACCCCTCTCCTATATGCTTTACTCGCATCCCACACAATTTCGATAGGGGTACCCTTATTCAAATTAATTTCAAAAAATCCTTTCATCTGTTTTTTAAGTTCTATTATATTTTTTTTCATATCTGAACAAATTTTCATTTAATCTCCATGATCTTCTCTCAATCTTTCCAGTCTCAATCTCTATCCATACTGGACTATGATCAGATAGAGTTCTTGGAAAGATTTTAGTTCTTTTTGTTTTAACAAGTAGATCATTTGATAATAAAATGAAATCAATCCTTGAGAAAGATCTATGTCTATCAGAGAAAAAAGTATAATCCAAGTTTTTTGAGTTATGTATTCTCCACACATCTTTTAATTCCAAATCTTCTTTCATATCAAAAAAAGTTGGTGGTAGTCTAATCCTTGACTTCGCCAGACTCTTTTTATCTAGTTTAGAATCAATCACTCCATTCCAATCTCCCATAATCAAAATAGATCTATAATCCCATTGCAATATTTTGGTATGCAAAATTTTATAAAAATGATCCTGTTGTTGGTTAGGAGCATAAATTCCAATCACAAGAATTTGGCCATATACAGTGTACAGTTCAATAGCTACAAACCTACCACCTTCATCTGCTTCTATAAATTTAGCTGATAGTCTTTTATTTATGTAAATAACCACACCATTCTTTTTTTCCAAGTTTGAAGCTATAAAATGTATTCCTAATTTTGAATTTTGAATTTATCAAATATTTTTGATCTTGTGTTCTGACATGAGTTTCTTGTAAACAAATTATATCATTATTGAATTGTCTCAAATATGAAAATATCTTCTTCCTTTTCTGTGGTGAGTTCAATCCATTCACATTCCAAGATAAAAACTTAACCGTCATGTATACCTTTTTGAAGCGACGAGCAGAATTGCTGGATATCTTCCGAGACCTTCGGCTTTGCTCCCCCCATGGCTTCACTTTGTTGTATAGTACTCTTGACTCCTTTTTTGTATTGTTGTGCCTTAGCTCTTTCCTGTAATTGTTTTTCTTTGAGTTGTTTAGAAACTGCTCGAGTTATACGCTGGTCTTTGGCTTCAGCCATACGAGCTAGGTCCAAGGCCACATCTCTTGTAGTCAAAATTGGAGAAGATTCTAACAGGGGCTCCTCCAGAAAACCTCCTGTAGCACCCTGCACTTCCACTAACTCTGATTCAACCTGCTTAGGCTGCTCTTCCAGCCCTTGCTGAGGTTGCTTCTCCTTATCACTCTCCTTTATCTCCAACACAGTAGATGTACGTGGGGATGGTGATCTCTCTTTAAAAACAGTATAATAAAAATGTTCCGCCTTTTCAACAGTATTCAATCGATATCTTTCTCCATTGTACTTCAGGATTATACCAGTTGGAGCATCCCACCGAAATGGAATCTCTAATTTTTAAAATTCATTTACTAGGAAACCAAAGTCCTTTCTATCTTTCAGCATCTTTGGCAGTAGTTCTTTATAAATTCCAATTTGAATTCCCTCCACTTGCACAGAAGAAAGAAAAGATTTTTTGCAAAATATCATTTCTCATTCTTCTATCTGTGAAATATATCACCACATCTCTAGGCAGTTGTCTTTGTCTGGCCACCCACGAGTTCACTCTGTAAATTTTGTCTATTTTGTAAAAAATCTCTTCAGGATTGATTTTTAACAACACAGCCAGAGCATCAGCACAAATCTGTCTCCAGTCTTGTCGATCATTCTCCTTAATACCTCTAAGTCTTATAGCAAATTCCATTGACCGGAATTGCATCATCGTAATTTCATTTTCGATTCTCTGCATTTTATTATCCACATCAGAAATTTTAAAATCAGTATCCTTTATTTTAACATTCACTTCTGATTTAAATTCTTCCAATTTAGAGTCCACTTTAATAATAATTTCTGACAAGCCAGAGACCACATTTGATAATTTATCAGTCACTTTGCCATAATTCTCTTTCACCCCTTTTTTCATTTCAATAATTTCCTGCTTGATTTCCTGCTGAGATTTTTGGAATTTATCATCCCTTTCCTGTTGAGATTTTTGGAAATTATCATCCAGAGCCTGAGTAATAATTTTTTTTAAACTTTCAAAATCAAAGTCTGTTTTCTGACTCTGCTCTTCAGGTTTGTGTGTAGGGGATCCACCCCCTGCTGCCTTGCCTTCCTGTTTTTTAGAAGCCATTCTGCCACGTAGATTAGATTTTCTAAAAAAGGAAATCCTTTTTTCTTTTCCACAAAGTCCTCTAAAAAAGTCCCCCAGTTTTAGTCCAGTTAAAGATAGAGTTAAACTAAAGCGAGCTCAGGCTTATTTTAAAAAAGATTTTTTCCTCCTCTTCTCCTGTTTGCTTGCTACAAACAGCGCAACAGTGTACTTGTTAAAATAGCTTCGCAAAATCACTTTCCCTTTCAGCTTGTTAACGCTGGAGCAGCACTATCTATTTGTCTGGAAGGGTATACCATCCCTTTACAAGAGTGGCTTTTAGATCTCCTTCGGCCTTGTCCCTCTCCACATGAGTATAGGTGGGATGCGATCTTTCAATGTATGATTCTATTTCTTGTGCTAGATAAAGATAGTGATCATTTTTATCTAGGGACAGTGTGCTGCCAATTTGGCCTCTCTATCAGCAAATCGATTGCCCTGTGCAACAAGAGTGTCTGTCTTCTGATGACCTGGACAATGGATGACAGCTAAGGATTTAGGAAATTGTGCAGCGAAGATCAATCTTTTAATGAGAGGGGCATGTTGGATTAGTTTGCCTGCAGAATCAGTGAAGCCCCTTTCCTTGTAAATGGCTGCATGTGCTTGAATAGTTAAAAAGGCATATTTACTATCTGTGTACAAATTAATAGTCTTGTCTGTGGCTAACTCTAATGCTTGGATGAGTCCCCATAACTCAGCTGCTTGAGCACTGGTACCCACTGGAAGAGGAGCACTTTCAATTACTGAGTGTTGGCTAACTATAGCATACCCTGCATAATGAGCACCATTTTCCATAAAGCTGGAGCCATCAGTAAACCAGGTAAGCTGGGCATATGGAAGAGGTGTGTCCATTAAGTCTGGTCTACAGGAATACTGATGGTCTAGTACATGCAGGCAGTCGTGTAACGGAAGGGATGCATTGGGTATAGGCATAAGAGTGGCAGGATTGATAGTTGCACATTGGTGAAGGCTTATCTGGGGGTTTTCTAACAGCAGCGCTTGGTATTTATGAAGCCTCTGATTACTTATCCACAATTGTCCTTTATTTTCCAGAATGGTTTGCAATGCATGGGATGTGAAGACTGCTACTTCAGAGGTGAAAGTCAGTTTGTTGGTATCTTTCATAAGTTCTGCTACAACGGCCAGAATTTTAAGACAGTGTGGCCAGCCTTGGGCAGGGCAGTCTAGCTGTTTAGACAAATAAATCATCGCCGTTGCCATGACCCTTGCTGCTGAGTCAACACCCCTAATGCCACATTATGACGAACATCTACATAAAGACGGAAGAGCTTGGAAAGATCTGGCAATCCTAATGCTGGAGAGGATACAAGTGCTTCTTTTAAATGACTTAATGAATTTACTTGTTCCTTGCCCCATTCAAAAGGGTCTGTTTCTGCTCCACGGTTGATGCATACAGGGGTTTGGCAAGTAAGGCAAAATTGGGAATCCATAAGCGACAAAAGCCCATGACTTCCAGAATGCCCTGCAGTTCTTTCCAATTTTTCAGTGGGGGCAGTTGTAAAATGGCCTGTTTACGAGGTAGGCTGAAATTCTTCTGACCCTGAGACAGAATGTATCCCAAGTATGTAACTTCTTTCTTTACTAATTGAGCCTTCTTCCTCGAAGCTCTGTAACCACAGTCTCTCAGTAACTCAAGGAGGGTCTGGGTATTTTGGAAACAGTTCTCCTGAGTGGTTCCGGTTACTAACACATCATCTACATACTGGAGGAGACAGTCCCCTTCCTGAACAGGTTGGAAGTACTGCAAGTCCAAAGCCAAGGCGTGCCCAAAAAGGGTAGGAGAACTCTTAAAGCCTTGGGGTAATCTTGTCCAGGTATACTGACAATGTCTCCGCAGTTTAGAGTCTTTCCACTCAAAGGCAAACAAGTCTTGGCTATCAGGGTGTAAGGGTATAGTGAAGAAAGCATCTTTCAGGTCTATGACTGAGAACCATGTGGCTGTGTGAGGAATGGTTCCCAGCAAAATGTAGGGGTTCGAGACTATTGCATGGAGTGAGACCACCACCTTATTTATGGGTCTTAGATCTTGTGCTGGCCTCCAACCCCCATTGGGTTTTCTTATGGGCAAAATTGCGGTATTCCACGGGGATTGAGTTTCTCTAAGTATCCCTGTGGCTAAGTATTTGTCAATTAAAATTTGAATGGCTTCTGCTGCTTCTTGAGGGACATAATACTGGGGCACTCTGATGGGCTTGTATCCCAATTTCAATTTGATTTCTACTGGGGAGGCAAATTTAGCTAGTCCAGGGGGATTGTCCTCTGCCCACAGTGTGGGAACATTAAATTCCTCCCAATTACTTTCGGAGGTTGTGTCTTGCATTAACATCAGTCGCCAAGTCTCGTCTACTGGGTGCGGCACTGTCAGGTATTGCCCATTCTCGTTGAAGGAAATGGCGGCTCTCATTTTAAAAAGTAGATCCCTTCTTAATAGTGGGACAGGGCATTTGGGCATATACAAAAATTGGTGCTCCACTAGGCCATTCCCGACCTTGCATTTAACAGGTTTCAGGAGGCTGTGTGTGGCAGCTGTGCCTGACACTCCTTGAACTCTGACTTTCTTAGTTGACAAGGGGGCCACTGGTTTATTCAGGACTGATTGACTGGCTCCGGTAACGATCATCATGCGGACTTGATGTCCTCCCACCCATAAATCCATCATGGGCTCCGGGGGTGGGTCCGTGGGGCCCTGGCCTCTTCAGTCATCCCATTCCATCTTGGCTAGGCTGATCACCTCCTCCTTCTGGTATGACTGGCTGGGTTGTCGCTTGTCAGTACCTCTTCTCCCTCTAAACACTCCTCTCGGGGTTCCTCTAAAACTTCTTCCTCTAAACATAGGCTGTCCACGCCCGTAGGATACTCCTCTTGATTCTGTCCTTCTACGGGGGCACTCTCTTTGCCAATGTCCTTCTTCTTTACAGATGGCACATTGGTTGGGCCCTAAGGTAACTCCTCCCAGGGCCAAAGCTAACATTTCAGTCTTCTTTCTTTCTTTAATATCTCGCTTTTTTTCCTCCTCCCTATCTCTATTCAGGTAGACCTTTCTGGCCACTTCTAGGAGTTCACTGGTATTCTTCCCTAGAGCTCCTTCCAATTTCTGCAATTTTCTCCTGATGTCCATGGCACTCTGACTGATAAATCGTTCGTTTAACAGGTATCTATTTGCTGGATCTTCTATGTTTATCCCAGTATGGATCTTATAGGATTCTGTTAGTCTAGTCAAAAGGCCTCAGGACTCTCATTCTTTTCTTGGTGTATGGTGGTGGTTTTGGCATAATTAATGGGACCTTTTGCTGCTTCCCTTAAACTGTTTATGCATAGGAGGTGGTAGGCAGCTAATAGAGTTTGGTCTTGGTTAACATTGGGATCCCAGTCTGGATCTACTTCTGCTGTGCTGTGGCCTTTTGCGCGGCATTGGCCCCATCTGGATACATACGGGTTAAGACCTTCTCTTTAGCAATTTTGAATTTTTCTCTGTCTTCCAGGGAGAATAAGGTATTTAATAATTGCTGAATGTCTCCCCATATGGGTCTATGTGTATGCATTATAGTACTAAATAGATCTACTATTTCGGTAGGCTTTTTGCTAAATGGGCCATATTGCTGTTTCCAGTTAAGTAGATCTGTAGTTGTAAATGGCTGATATTGAAACAAGGAACGAATGATGGGCAGTCCCTGGGCATCAGTTCCATGACTCAAAATTTCCCTCAAGGGGGCCAGAGTCTCCGTCTCTGTCTTCTTTAAACTTGTCTGGCTTCGAGTTTGGGAACTAATGGGTTTAGATTCTTCTTCTGTCTCTTCTTCCCCATCACTCTTAACTTCCCTTTTAACTTGCTGTTGGCGTTTCCGGGGCTGGATGGGTCTTGGCACTATATCCGCTGGCAAGGGTGGATAGGGGTTTCGTCTTGGGGGCTCAGGATGTGGTGCATATGGGGGAGGATGGCTAACATCTTCCACATCCTCCTGACTAAAAACTTTAGTTTTAACTACCTTTCTGTTGATCTTATTTTTCTCTTTCATCATACATACTTTCACACATTCCAGCTGACATTTCTTAAGCCAAGAGGGGGCTGCCTTTTGAGCAATCTGCCACTGATCTATGTATGGGAATTGGTCCCAATGGCCATCCCGGGTAATGATCCGATGTACCTTGGATATCACTATTGGATCCAACGATCCTTCTTCTGGCCACCTTATGCTAAAGGTGGGCCAGACACTTATACACAACATCTTCAAGGTTTCCGGATCACATGGGGAATCACCATAATTTCCACTATAGGCACTCTTAAAATTGGCTAACATACATTGTAACGGTGTCCTGGGGACACTATTACTACCACCCATCCTAACAACACTACCCCTGGCTCACGACGCTGGATGTTCTGACAGTCGTCAATGAGAACCGCAAGGGTTTAACCACCCACACAATACTTAATTCCTTACTAGAGACTTTAGGACAATGCCTTGTCTCTTAGGAGGGTGATCAGGCCCCCTCCTCTACCACTAAATTGATAGTTTTACTTATACTTGCCTTCAGGCGTCTTCTTCCTGGACTTTTTTTCGAGGTTTCTGGGTCTGGCTGACCAGATAGATCCTTGACTGATCTGCGTCTCAGCGGGTTTCACGGCACCTCCTCACCGAAAGGTTCCGTAGACTTCAAAGGAGTCCTATGGCCGGCTGATGGACTTTCCTTGGGAAGGCATCGGTCCCCGCTGTGGCAGGCCGTCTGGCAGAAGAAAAGTTCTTTGTTCCTTAGTCCCACCAGTGTCGCCACAAATGATGTGAAATGAAAGGACCAAGCAACATTCCTGGGTCAGCCAGAGACAGTTTTATTGCGCAAGGTTCAGAGCCAGGAATTGTATCTGAAGCTTTGAACAACCCAAGAGCTGTGATATCTCTGTTTTTATACATTTCTAAGACAAAGGATTCAGTGAGATCATACATTTTCCATATGTGGTTACATATATCTGATTTTCCCTATATGGTTACATACATTTGATAATATGTTTATCTAATTACTTAAACCATTAATTTTAGTTTATAAAATTATCTTTGTCAGGGCATTTATTAATCCCATGTTTGGATCTGGGACAAATTACCCTGGTTTAATTAGAGGAGATGAATCGAGGCTTATTCCTTGTTGCAATATTCCGAAAAAGAAACGCGAAGAAAAGTTTCTAATAAAACTCATTTATTTGTTATAAAGAAAATAAAACACTTCACTAACTAAGAAAGATAAATTGTTACATTTTGGCAAGCGAGATCTCCTGCCGGTCCAGCCGGACCTCTGGCAAGAGAACAAAGGAAAAAGTGAGTGAAGGAATGTGGGTGGATGGACATGCGTAGTAGCTTTTGATAACAATTCTTGGCAAGGTACGGAAAGTCTGATAGTCCAGAAATGATAAGTTCAGCTGGCAAATAAAATAACGCAGTGACAATCTTAGCCACACAACTTTTTCTTAAGTGCTCAGAGTTGCTAATGGGAGATTTACTACTGTCCTTGGGTAATAAGAGGTAATAAGTGACTCTTTGTTTCCTGTGGCTGTTTTGTGTATCTGATAGTGGGGGGGCATTCAGATGTCTTCCATCTGGCTGTCCTTCCGTGACGGCTAGGCTTCATCAGAAGATTTATTACCCTTCATGGGGTTTAACTGTTTGTTAATGTAATCTCCAAGCAAGCACTTTCCTCTCTTATAATAATGTGAATAGAGAGGGTCTCTCAGAATTCATGTATCTAAGCACGTCTTCCCCTTATAATAATGTGAATAGAGAGGATCCTTTAGAGCTCATATATCTGACTCTGTATTATTCCTTTCTTTTATCCACATTAAGCAGATTGATATGGGAAGGGCACCCACGACTATAACATCAATTCTCCACCTACCTCTTCCTGTTTGATGGAAGCACCTGGAAAAGGCCTTTTAAAACAAACGAACAAACAAAATGATCTATTTTATTGATAAATGATGGTTATTCTCATTTTCACCTGAAGTACATTAACAGAGTGCCTTTTAGAAACATCAATCATATTATCTCTCACTTTATTTTGTACTTATACTTTCTCCAGTTTCTACCATCTTATGTATCCTGCATTCCT